GTGACCAAAAAGTCAAAAAATGAAAGTGTGAAATTTCAAATGAACATGGCAAATCACAACTAAACATGCATGCTCTCTACAGGGTAAACCCACCAGGCTTGGACATGACATGGCAAGAACCCACAATTAATGAAAATGCAACAATGAAAATGCAAAATTACTATGTGTACACTGTAGATTTTTCAAAAAACAAATCATATGCAAATACAACATATTTCAACTGAAACATATAACTTTTTCAATTCAAAAAACATTCAAACATGTTGTGGTGAGACTTGGTGACCAAAAAGTCACCGACACCACATTTTTCAGTCCTTAGAGAGCTTTACCAGCTAACCCTTAAGCTAAATGGTTAGCAAATCAGCTAACCACTTAGTAACCTAGGGTTTGTTGAAGTGGCTAACCTCTAACAAACAAGCTAAGAGGTTAGATAAACGATATAAAGTTTATAGAGGTTAGCCTCAAACCTAGAAGTGGTTAGAGAGGTTATAAACCATTACTAGAAGTTATAACCTACTTACTAGAGCTTATAACTAGCTTATTGGAACTTATCTAACCATTTATAACTCTTCTAACCAATAAGATCTTCGCGGGACATCCCAGTAAACCATACTGTTCTCGCTGACCTTTTCACCTTGCGGTTCTCCACCTGCCTTCCACCTGGGAACTGAACTAACTGAAAACCAATGTCAGAGTGTAACCCTTGGAATCACAGGGATCCTTCTGGACTGTTTGATTTGTTTTTTTATCTCACTATAGCAGGGGGCAACCTCGTGATCAACTCCACGTACCTGCTTCTTTTTGAACTGTTGACCAAGCCATGACCCTACTCTTCCTTGAAGGGCTAGTGCGCTCTGCAGACAAGAGCGGCAGCCGTTTTTTTCGACCTGTGCTTCGTACCGATTGTAATTTGGAACCTAGAGCTTTGGAGACTTGAGAATTTGGACTTGCGGAGTTCTGAGCCCTGTTTCCTTAGGTTTTTCACTCAGGCCGGCGTGTGGCAAACCGCAACCCAATCAGTACGCATTTCTATAAGTGTGTCTCTCCTCGTCAGAGCCCAGGGTGACCCCGAAGAGTGGCCCCTGTCGACCCGTTGAACGGGGTGTTTCTACACTGCGAGGCGGAACCGTGCTGGAAACCAAGGCAGAAACTGCAGTCAAACTGTAGAGACGAAAAGGGCATGTATAAGCAGGATGAACCAGGTGCGAATTCAATTGCACTCCTGTAAGTTTCAATCGTTCCCGCAATTCGAACTGTTCCGCCTGAAACATTTGGGCGTCACTTTTGGCCTCCTTCCTTTCCACAAGACCCCCAGGACGTTTAGAACCCCGTACACGCTGTCTCAGGGGTATACTGGTATACCTAGGTTGGCGAGTGGCAAACCGCAATCGAGTCAGTACGCAATGTGTTGAGTGTGTGCGCGTGTGTGTGTGTGTGTGCGCTTTACCCGAAAGAGCTCTTATCTCAATGTCAAATGTGTCTCGCCGTGGGAGAGCCCGGAGTCTGTTGAGAAGGGGCTTGCCTTTTTCTCCCTGTCGCGAAAGAAGGTGTCCGAAGCGGACGCAGGAGCGCATCGACCGTACGTTCGATCGGGATCGTTGGATCTCGGCTCGGTCCGGGCCAACTATGCGCGCTGCCCGCGCAAACTCAACTAGGCAAGGTGCCACGACTTGGGCAATGAGGTTTGGGTGCTTTTCGCTTGGTTTGTCCCCTTTCATATGGTTTCCCCTTTTCACTACACACCTTTCCTCCTTTTCTTCCGTGTTTATTCGATCATGCAGGTCTTGTCATTTCATCTCCTTTTTTCTGTTGCGCGCTTGCTTGCTCCGACCTTAGCGTGTACGTGCGCATATTTGGTTTTTACTTCATTTCAACTGGATGCACCTTGGGCCCTTTCGTGTCCTTGCTTTTTCCGGGCAAGGAGGTGGCCGTGTCGCCCCCTCGAAACGGCGTGTCCCAGGGAACCTTTTGGGATCTCACGCCGGGCCTTAATTATGTGCGCGTGCGCAAACTGATTTGGGCAAGGTTCCCAGCCCCCTGGTTTCCAGTGGCCTGTCGAAGAGTTGGATTACTGCTCAAGTTTGCTTTAGCCTGCGAGATTTGGAGATGTTCACTTTTTGTTGTGCAGTGACAGGCGACCGTGGCAAGGCGACCGTGGCAATACTGAAGTTGTGCCTTGCGTGTTGACAACCACATACCCCAAAAACAAATTTTTGATGGAGCTTGCGACTTGGATTCTTGGACGCAGCTTCAACTTTGAGCCGTGTTGCTTGCCACGTTGATATTTAATGTTGCACCAACCGTATGCTCGACAAACCGCCCCAACTTGGAGAGAACTAGCAAGTTGCAAGTTAGTGTTTGCGTGTTGCCATCCGCTGCATTAATTGTACAGTTGTCAGTTTTTTTCCCCTCGAAAAGTTTGACACTGTTTGCCAAAACGCGAATATATGATAACATATGTATATACATATATCAATCTATATATATATACAACAGACGGTAACAGTGCCCATAACTTTTTAGATTTTTGCAGATTCCGCATAGAGCTTTGCTGCTCTGATCCTAATTTATTTTTGCAACAAACACATCATTTTCTTGGCAAGGCTTCAAGCTTAGGCAATGCGTAAGTAGTTTGCCTCTTTTTGTTGTGTCTAGACAGCTACACTGTCACACCAGCCTGACACTACCATAGCATTTAGGTTCGAGATGCAGCTTGTTCAGAATGTTTGAGTTGGCCATCCTGTATGGCTACACATCAGGCAGTTTTGCATGTTTGCTGGCCTCCTTTGGCGTAGCTGCAGCTACCATTCAGTCTTGATCAGGCAATGTATCGGTTCTTTTTAGTCAGCGCCACGCTACCGCTCGGAAATTCGTCCAGAACCTAGAGCATTTTGCCGCCGCGTCAAATTGGGCAGCTGTCCCGCCATTTCGATCAAAGTTGTTTTGTTGGATAAGTTGCGACGAATCATTGCCTCCCAGTGAAAGAAAACATATTGGTGGCCACGGAATGTCCAGATCAACACTTCACCGAGGTTGAGCAGAGAATTAGAGAGTCCTTCTGATTTTGGCAGCTGGGAAATGATTTCGCTCGTGTGAATGGATGTGTTTCATTGTCCAATATGGTTGAAATGCAGGGCCGCGCAGTGCCCCTTGATTGATTCTATGTTGACTAAGAATTCCAAAGAGAATGCACTGGATATGACGAGGAATGGGCGGGGTGCTTAGACTTGCATAGCGCCTTCGGTGCGTTTTGTTTTCCTGGTGGATCCATGTGGATCCCTCAATCTTCCTGATGTCCCACAAAGTATACCCGTGAGGCTCGATGCCCCGATCTCGGTGACTGTGCTGGATCATGCGTGCCTCGAGATTGCCAGTTTTCTCCATGGCAGGAGGGTTTGATGACTGCGAACCATGGCAAACCAAAGGAAGCATTGGTAGCTGTCTCGGCTACATACAGAACTGCGTAGGCATTGTATCGGCATATGAGCTAGGCTCAAAACTAGTGAACGCGACGAATTGTCAGTGAGTGGTCATGGGAGTTCAATATGCATGCTTTGCCCAAACAACGATAACACACTCGCCAAGCAACTCCACAACCAATTTTGAGCGTCGCTCATATGTGTACATCGCATATCGTCAAGGCTCAGGAAATTATCGTGGTAACAGTTGTGTACACCACCGCATCGATGTTCATATTGCCACAAAGCTGGGTGGGCGTCGCTCGAAGTAAAGTAGTTTTGATTTTCAATTTCCCTCAACGTCGGGGCCGATTCTTGCAGTGGGAGGTCTTCTCAAAGAAAACGAGTTGCCGTTGTATCCTTGCTGCGTGTCCATGCGTGATGCTTTCGAGTGCTTCCTTGTCGAATATCATTTGTTCTCAATAGCTAATCTTATCTCAACACTTCGTACCACCTTTGCTTCTTTCCTTTCACGGCCCAATATCCAGCAACAGAAAGGCAATATAAGGCAACTCGGGGAGCTGGGAGTAAAAGGGGTGGAGGATCCCGAGAACCCAAAAGCAAAACGGGCACAGAAAGAAGCAGTGTGTCCAAGAGAAGCAGCAAGCAACCAGATACAGAGAACTGCTAAAGTCGTGCCTGTATGTTGGAAATCGTAGCAAATAGCTTGGGGAAAGGGTTTTTCAGAAGTCGTGCCTTTTTTTACTCAACGCATTGTAAATGCAATCCGAAATGGTGGTTTTGAAGCTTTTTTTGATGTATTTTGTTGCGTTTAGCTTGTGTCCAGCTAATGGGGCGGAGTTGTTTTCTTTGAGTTCGACGCTTTTGATTGTTGCGTTTAGTTTGTGTTCTGCATTTTTTGGAATATCTTCGGATAGAGTTGCAAAGACTCTTTTAAGTTGGAATTTGCATGGGCAGTGCTACTGTTTGATGTTTGCTGCTTTGTTTTGAAAACCGAATCAAACCGACAGCTGGCGCATTTTGCGCCTGAATGTTCGGCAAGACTGTATTGACGTGATGGGTGATGAGATTTTGCATGAAGACTGCAGACCCAAGTTGACCAGCAGTTGACCAGCAGTGAAGCGCTTGGCTATCGGCATGGCGTGCAAACCGTGGAAAGCGGTTTGCAAAAGTTGCCAAAAAATAGAATTCAGGAGAGCATCTTGCCCGGTGCCCTCAAGCCCGCCTACAAACTTCCAGGAAAGCTGCTGCGCATGATGCGCCCCAGCCCGGGTGAATCACGTGCATCGTGGTGTGCTGTCTTCTTCGTCACTGCCATCGACGGATGTAGCAATGAATGGTTGCCAGAACAACCCTCAAAAAATTGGGCTAGTCTGAACCGCCAGGTATTCCCACTTGCAGCGCATTTCCACCATCCTCTTGTCACAGTTCCGCAAGGTATTCTGTCGCGCCTGCGCCGAACAACCAAAATCCAAGCCCCAGAGATGCTTTTGGGAAAAGAGCAAAAGCAAAACAAGTAGGGATCAACAAAACGGGTACAAACGAGGATCAAAAAAACCAAACCAAGGGTCAAGGAACAAGAAATAGATAAGCAGTTGCGTAGGAAGCAAACTGAACAAGTAGCAGCAGTAAAAGCAATACTAGTAGCAGTGGTAGTAGTGGTCGTCGTGGTGGTGCCAGTAGCAGCAGCGGTAGTAGTCGTCGTCGTAGCAAGTAGTAGTAATTAGTAGTAGTAGGAGGAGGAGGAGGCGTCGGTGTGAGTAGGGTGGTATTAGTACTGAGAGGGCATAGCAGTTATATATACTTATAAGTATCATAACTAGTTATAAGTCTACTTATATACAAGTAGTATAAGTATGTATAAGTGCTATAAGTATGGTCATAACTATAACCTAACAAAAACCATGTTTCTTGAAAAGCATGGGTTCTTATCAGAGACCAGCATATACCCATATACGAGCTCAAACCGCGCACAGCGCGAGTGGCACTTTTTTTGGTGGGCGCAGTCAAATGAGTCTTCGCTTTGCTTCCTAATCTTGTCCTTGTCGTATCCCTCCTTCACCCGCACCTCCAGCGGCGTGAAGACGGCTTGGACGGTGGTTGCGCTCTCCTCTTCTCGGCGTGTGGTCATTTGTTCCACCATCTCAGCGCGGACCCGGACCACGGTCCACTTCACACGCCCGCTGGAAGCATGAGCTGCTCTTTGGGAGAGCCCTGCTCTGTCCTCCGAGCAAAATTCCTCGCAAAGCCCACCCATGTTCCGCTGGACAGCCTTCTCCGAAGCGAAGCGCGTGAGGCACCACCACTGCGCCCTCCGTTGCCTGCCAGAGTTCGCCGCGCGCATCCGAAGGCAGCCGTCGCACTTCTGCGTTCTCCACGGTCTCTGGCGTCGCTGGGACGACTTCTGTCGACGTGGCGCACTATAGCGAGAGAGGAGAAACCAGACCGATGTAATTCGAGCCGCGCTCCGGGCAGCGGACAGGATATACCCAAAATGTACTTTCTAGAACCACTGCTAGACAAACGCGAGACAATGCGAGACAACCGCCCCCAGCGACTTTTCTCTCGCGGAGGATTACGGTGTACTACGCGAGACATCCGCGGGACATGGCCCGTGGATCCCGCGCTGGACATCGCGAGACATTCGACGCTGCCGCCGCGAGAGCCTGAAACTTGCGGACTCTGTCGACGCATCATTTGCCAGCATTGAATTTCGCATGGACGCACGGCGATGGGAGTTATACATGGAAGGTGTCTGAAGAACACGCATGGCGCTCTCGACGCGGCATGCTGCATAGGGCCAACAGTAGTCCACACGCGTCCAGCGCAGTCTGCCAACAAGCCGCACTCTGGCCCAGCGTCCTTTGCCGCAGACTTGTGCAAATCTTGGAGGAAAGCCATGGCCTCTATCAAACCATCCCTGCAGCGTCCATCTGCGTCAGGCGCTGCAGAGAACGCAGCTTGGATTTCGGGGACCCACGTCCCAAGCGACTCGCGTCAAGGCATCTGCTCTCTCGGAGAAGGCCTTCCCCGCACTCTGGAGAACATCCCACATGCGACTCGGCAGGAAGTCTGCCAATTGTGTGTAGTGTAGTCTTGTAAGACGGCCCTCTCCGCCGTGTCTCGACTTTTTGAGCCGAAAAAACTTCCGAGCCCGCAAACCTCTGCAAAAACCAAGAGCTTATAGCTAGAACATAAGTATGCTACTAAGTCTTATAAGTCTAAGATGTCTTGAACTTGCCTACTTATAACCATACTTATAGTAAAAGTCCACCCTAAACCATGTTACAAATACCATAGCTTTTGACATACCTATGACACTTTCAAGTACGACAACCCCGGGCTATGACCATACTTTTGATAATTTGATTATGGCTATAACTACTTAGCCCTCTCAGTAGAAGTGGCCAGCGTAGCAGCAGTAGCAGTCGCCGTCGCCGTCGCCGCCGTCGCTTTAGGAGGAGGAGTAGTAGTAGTGGTGGTGGTGGTGGTGGTGGTAGTAGTAACTGTAGCAGTCGCAGTGGCAGTTGCAGCAGCAGCAGCAGCAGGAGGAAAATGAGGAGGAGTAGTAGTAGTAGCAGCAGTGGAAGTGGTAGTGGTGGTGGTGGTAGTAGTAACTGTAGCAGTCGCCGTGGCAGTCGCAGCAGCAGCAGCAGCGGCAGCAGCAGCAGCAGCAGCAGGAGGAGGAGGAGTAGTAGTAGTAGTAGTACTAGTAGTAGTAGTACTAGTAGTACTAGTAGTACTAGTAGCAGTAGCAGTAGCAGTAGCAGTAACAGTAGCAGCAGCAGCAGCAGCAGCAGCAGCAGCAGCAGTAGTAGTAGTAGTAGTAATAGTAAGTAGGGTGGTATGAGTAGAAGTGGCCAGCGTAGCAGCAGTAGTAGTACCAGTAGTGCTGTAGCAGTTGTATAAGGTTTTGTTGGGCTGGAGAAGGGTTAGTTTCCTGACCTTCCTTTGGATTCCCCTTCTCCTTGTTTCCTTCTCCTTAACAATCTTCTTCTCTCCTTCTTTCCTTTCTCTCCTTCTTGCCTTTGCCTTTCCCTTTGCCTGTGCCTTTCCCTTTGTCCTTCCTTGCTCCCCTCCTCTCCCAAGCTGTTGTGGCAGCGAAGCCTAACCGACATTGTGTTCTGAAACACCATGTTGCCCTTCAAATCACAGAAACCTAGTTGAAAATGAGGGGGGCCTTCCCACCATGAATTACATGGTCATTTTTTGACACTGTGGCATCAGTATGTCAATAAACATGTTGCTTCCACTTTTGCTATCTGGGCGAACCCAAGAGCCAGAAGAAACTGACGCCGAGGAGATGTTACGTTTCATCATGTTATGCTATGCATTGTATGCTGTGCCACGTAGTATACTGCAACGTGATGTGATGGAACGCCATGGTATGGTATGTGACATGTGATATGTTTGTTATGCTGTGCGATGTATGTTGAACAATGCTATGTTGTGGTATACTACGTTTTGATATGTTTTGTATGTCGTACATATTTGTGTATGCATCGGAACTTGCAAACCACATGCGGATGCGCACAGGATTCGATCACACATATTGAGGTTGTACTAACGTATGACCCTCCACGAGAGGACTGGTATAGCAGCGGGGGTTGTACTGGGCTGCGCTATCGAAGAAGATATGTTGATGCCTCAGAGTTTTTTTAGCGCCGCAACCAAACAGTTTTTTATTTTTTAAATCAAACCTCATGACTTTGAAACTTAGCTCCGCTTCCGGAAGGACATGCAAGACCAATGAACAAAAATACTTCCAGTAGAAGCTGTCAGGTAAATCTTCCCAACAATGAATGTGGATATCCTTGTATTGGGCCGACGGTACGCCAAGACTGCAGCTTTATTGCTTCGCATCGCACGACCCGACCAATTGCAGTTTCGATTGGGCTTCACAGGTGGAATCTGAGCGACAACGTAGTGGGACAGTGGATTGCGAAGAGCTGTTTGATTGTAGCCTTTCTGTGTCTTGGCTCCACTTAACCAGAAGCAGATCCCTTTGACATTTGTTGAGAACAAGGCTTGGTCCTCTTGGACTAGTTGCAATTCCAGCTGTCACCTTAGAAAAGGAAAGGCATTCCTTTGGTCATCAGTCTTTATCAACCTTTCAGATTGAGGTCTTGACCAGTCCATCAGGCATCGGATAATTGAGGAACCAGCAAGCCCAGATGGGTGCATGACTTGGAATTTGTCACTTTGGTCACTTCACGCTTTAGTTTGCAACGTAATATTCATTCATTCAAGGTAGGCAGGGTCGGTGATGAGGAATTATTTGATGTCATTCAGTTCACTCTCCTTTTAGCTTGAGGCTCAAGCCAAAAAGGAGTGTCGCTCCGTGTGAATCAGGGTCGCTGATTCGCAAGATTCTTTTTGTGTGCGAGCCATGGCTGACGCAAATGCTCGACGCGCGGTTGAGCAGGAGAAACTGAATACCTGGTGTGCCAGGATGGGGATTCAGAGTGCTAGCGACTTGGCTTTTTGGTTTACCTCCTACGAGGAAGCACTTCGTGAAGCCGGTCGCGCAGTGGCAGAGCGAACCGGGGATGGCAGCCCTGGTTCGGCACATTTTTGCGAGGGAGACAGTTCGCCAGTCTCGCCCGCCACAACCATCCAGTGCTCCGGCTCCTTCACTGCCTTCGTCTTCGGTGGCCCGTCCAAAGCCGTCTTCATTTGCTGGGCCTGTCAAGCCCAAGAAGAAGCCAGCCCAGCCGGCTGATGCGAAGGGCGGAGTCGCCGCCTTGTTTACTCGTGACCTGTTGGGCATCATGGTGACGTTGATGCCTCCGCCACCTGCTCGACGAGATGAATACATGGCCAATTGGGCCTCCCGCTTGGAGAAGCTATGCGCCCGCACCGAGGCGGCCACCATCAAGCGCGTGGCAACAACGACTTCACTGTTGGCATTCCAGGGATGTCTTCAGACGAGACACGAACAACTTCTCGGACAGCAACTCGTCCGCGGCTACCATAGCTTCGGACCATCGCTCCACAGCGGATGTAGTTTTGATTTCTTCCCAAAGAAGCTCGGGCGCACTGGCCAAGAACAAGGCAGCAGCAAGCCGGAGTTGGTGGCCTTGCTTTTGTTTCCGAGCATCGTGCCGCAATGGAGTTTGTGCTGTAGAGCTACCACTCGCAGCGTCCGTCCATTGGCCAATAGCAAGGCGCTCGGTATCGGTGAGCCGCGCAATCCCTGCTAAGGTGGGCACCACCCGCCTGAAGCTGTACGAGCTGAGGTTCTGCACGTCCAAGACGCCATCGAAATAGGGGCGAACCACTCGAAGGAATTGCCCAATTGACACGGGGACACCTGTGTCAGAGTCGAAGGCCAAAAAGTGCCAACGACGATACCCCTCGCCGTGTCTTGGACGGACCTTGTCCAACTGGCGGTTCCAAATGGCGTATACAGGTCGAGGCTGCCCAGCTGCCGAGGAATCGACCAGGCGAACCCATCCTCCAGGACCCCCAACAAGTGAGTCACCATGCCCGGCTCAAGCGGGGCTGCCTGGGACTGCCCCTGTCCCAGCCGAGTGCTCCGGACTGGAGCAGGCTTGGAAGCTTCACTCAAATCCAGTGGTACACGAAGGTTTCGAATCATCCAACCCAGGGATGTAAACACACGCGTAGGACCATGGTGCTCCCTGACGAAGGTGGCCAACGCATGGGGGTCGGGGAACTTCAACCCCAAATGGTCCATATAGCGCACCAAGTCCTTCCAGGTATTAGGTATGGAGCAAACGGGCAGCTGCTACAGCCTTGACGGGATCTTCTTCCTCTCCATCGCAGCCGAAGCCTAAGGTGTCTCCGCGTCTGGCGCCCAAGAAGGACGAGCCTCCTCTGCAGAGGCGACGCCTTCCTTAGAAGACGGCGGCGCCGACTGCGCCTGAGCAGGTGCCTCCTGCTCCTGCGGTACTGCCTGTACCGGCCAGTCAGGCCACGGTGGATCCACCCACCCCTGCCAGGGGTCCGGGGACTCCGGCGGTGGCTGTCAAGAAGAAGCCGCAGCCACCGGCTGCCAAGGCTCGACCTCCGCCGCCGGCGGGGCCGCTCAACGAGGTCTCCGATGCGATGTTCGATATCGCCGCTCGTGAACGTTGGGCACAACCTGGACACAGCGGACGACCAGAGCCTCCTACATTGGTCTTTTGGGGCGCTGACGGCCACGGGTCGCTCTACCTTGCTGGTCTGCCGAAAGACCCTCGGTGGGTGCGCGGCAACGATATTGGGTTCATCGCCTCAGCTATGGAGAAAACCGCCGCTGAGTGTCCTGGCGGAGTGGCGCAGCGAGATTGTTTTCAATTGTCGTGCCCTGTGTCGTACCAGGGTGCGAAACGTGATCAGGCCTTGCAGGATATCAAACAAGCGGCCTTCGCTACCCTTGCTGCAGGGTCGAACGTTCTGGTCCACTGTCAGGCCGGAGTGCACAGGGCACCAATTCTCATGGCCATCCTCCTTGCCTGGATCAAGCGCACCGACTTCGACCAGGAGTACACGAGACTTGAAGGGCTGAGGGCTATCGATCGCCAAGGCGTTTTGAAAAGACGCGGCGGCGATGCACTGTTTAGTTGGGCCCGGTCGAGCTGCGGGGGGAACCTGCCCCAGCTCCCAAGGTACCCTGTCGTTTTTATATGTTCAACAAAAGCAGGGGCATTGTGGCACGTAGAGCGCGAAGGCGCACCGTGGTGCCGGTGGAGACAGGCGTCTCCAGGCTTTCGTGGCGATACCCACGCTACGTCTGTGCACGAGGCCTTGGGGTATGATCGCCAGATTAATTTGCAAGTCATGCCAGGCTGTGCTTCCCGGCCCGGACCGACGTGCATTGGCCTGGGCTGTACGTCTAGTGAATTTGTGTCAAAAGGCGCATTGTCATGTCCTGGGGCCAAGTGTGACCAAATGTGCGCCAAGTCAGTTTTGATCGTTACTCATAGTTGCAGCTTCGTTCATTCAAGTTCGATCGTTCAGCATGGACCGACCCCAGGCTATCCAGTTGGCGGCTGTTGCCATGGCGCCTTTGGACGGAGACGCGCGGCGGGGCAAAGCTGTTGAGTTGAGGGAGTTGGGGCAGCAGGCTCGTCTAGCCCTGGAGTCTCTACCCCCTATCAATTCCTGTGTCTGGGGGTGGTTCTGGTCCAGATTCGTGCTATGCAGAGCCTCTGTACTAGCTGGATTGAGTGGTGGGATGAGATTCAAGACGTCCCCATGCAGGGAATTCGCCCAGCCTGAGCCGGAACTTCATCCACTGTTGGGGGCACGGCCAGTCAGGCCTGGGTCTGTTCCCCCTTACATATCTGTTGTGCGGGCCTGTTGTGACGAGATCAAGCTTCTGAGTACTACGTTGGCCCCTGCTGAGCGCCGTCGCCTACGTTCGGCCCTGATGATGGCCCATGATGAGGTGACACCGCTTGCTGATGCCCTGCACTGGGATGCTTTGCGCTGCCTGGGCTTGGAGCTCAATGAGTTGGCACCGCAGTTAGAGTAACGTACCTTTGAGGGTTGGTAGACAAAAGGTTCGATGCTTTTGATGTGTTCATTTCATGAGGGTGGTCTCACGTTTCTTTCCACTCTATTATTGTGTTGCAGCTGTCTTCAAGTTTCAAGTGTTCAATTCGATTTCGACGATCCTTCGATTGGCTGACATGTCGTCCGCACCTCCCAAGCAGTTGGCTACGCCTGAAGATACCTTCACGGCCTTGGCTGCCCAGTTCAACTTTGACAACCGCATCAAAGACAAGATCCTTGAGTTGGGCATCCGTACCTTGGCAGAGTTCCGCCACTACCCTCGGACTGACGAGGAAGTCAAGAAGCTCTTTGTGGACAGCCTTACGCCGTCGTTGGATGACATCCCGGCTCGACTGCAAGCCGCTCGCCTTCGCTTTGCTTGGAACTCCTGCAAGGCTATGTTGGATGCCGAGCACGCAGCCGCCAGTCTGCCGCCCGCCTCTACTGAGGATGAGACCTTGCTGCCTACATCCAAGCTCGATTCCTTGAAAGAGGCCTTCTACAAGCGCTACCACATTCGTCCGGAGCCTCGCCAGTTCCCATCGGATCGCTTGTTGAGCAAGTTGAGCCGCCAACTTTACCGGGGGCAGTTGGAGGTCATGGACCTGTGGACTGTCCGGTCTTTGACGTTTCAGCGGACGCGCAGCCAAAAGCGCCGCAAGGTGGGGGATGGCCTATGAGGACGACACCGAGGAGGATATGTCCAAGACCTGGCTGGCCTACCTCATGAAGCTCGAGACCTACCTGTTGGCTTTGGCTATTGTGGGCTGTCGGCCCCGTGACCCTCCTCCAACGGCCCCGGAATCCTTGTCTTCGAACAGCTTGGACTACGCGCAGGTGCCCTATGATACCTTGTTTCGCTACTACGCCCGGTGCCAGGACCTGGTCTACCGTACAGCTGAGTCGAAGCGCCTCAGCGTGCTGCAGCACCTGGACGTCGAGGAGCGGGGGCAGTGGTCTGCCCGGACTGCAGTCGGCGCGTCCCTGGGATCGGTGATCCATGCAGTGCACCGCGAGCGTGACGCGCTCTGGATTGCGGGGGCTCTGCCGGTGCCAGTGGTGGGTGGCGGGGGGGGCGCTCCCGCGCCATCCTCTGCGGTGGGGTCGCAGCCGCCGGATTTTGCCGGACGGGCAGGTTCTGTGGTCCACAGCCTTCGAGATGGCACAGCTCTATGCCAAGATTTCCAACGTGGCCGTTGCAAGAACAAGCGCAGTGAATGCCGTCCTTCTGAAGTCGGGGCGCGTCTGTGGATCCTGGCAGCACGCGCCTGCCCGTTGCCCGAGCAAGGCTTGAAATGAAGGCCGCTCTTCCATCGGGGGGGGAGCGAGGCCAATTCCATGACATGTCTGTGTATACTGACTACCAACGGTTCATGGAAGAGCTCTCCCTTGTTGAGCCAGTGAATGATACAGCCCGCAAGCCAGTCTTTCTTGATGTGTTCAGCGGCTTTAATGCTCCGCTTGCTAAGGCCTTCCTTTGGTGCCGATGGGAAGTGGTCACGCCTATATCGACATTGAGATCGACAAGGACTTGGACGTGTCTCGGCCTTCGGTTCGTCGCGCCATTCATGCAGTCCTCCCTCAGCGCCGGAGCGATGAGCTGTGCCACCAAATCCCGGGCACGGGAGAAGCCGCCTGGTCCCCCTCCACTGCGTAGCGAGGACTCGCCTCGGGGTCTTCCGGGGATCCCTGAACGCAGTCAGCAAAGGGTGGATGCAGACAACTATTCCAGCGACTATACTTGCTAGCACTCCATACCTGGGTAGCCCAACATGGCTTGGGTGGGTTACAAGAGAATCCCCTGCGTTCTTTGCATTGGTGGGATCCTATTGAACTCCATGTCACCCAACAGAACATGGCATGATTTGGATTACGATGCATGTGTTTTCGGGGGAGCTCGCAAGAAGTCTCAGCGGTTTCGTCGCAACATTCCAGAGCTTGCTGCCCTACCAGCTGTACGTTGCGGACATATACATGACCCTCGGGAGTGGTCCTCCCCAGTCGAGGGAGGGTTTGCTACCTTTGCCGAAGCGGAGTACACCCCCATTTTGGTTTGCAGTGGCTTGTACTGCATGGGCAGCTCCCGAGGATATCACGTGACTCAGGTACCCAGGCTGCCGCCCATTTCGCTGTCAGGCGATCGCCGGCCGTTGTTGCAGTTCGAGCCGTCGGAACTCCGTCAGGACTTGATGGACGTCATGGGTTTCCACTTGGGTTTGTCCCCTCCGGGTGTGGACTCCTCCTTTGTCCCTGCACGGTTGGTGGCTAGTGAAGTTCTGCAGACACGGAAGCACCTCCAGGAGAATGAGATCTACATCGGCCCTGGCCACTTCTCCCATTGGTGGCCCCTTTCACAATGGCAGAACCCCTTCCGTGCCGGGGAGGGCCGTACATCCTCTGAGAGTGTACTTCAGTTTGCGCGATGGATCCATGACCAAGCGCACCTCCTTGATGCACTGCCTTCACTGCACGGTTGTACGCTGATCTGCGATTGCCCTCGCAACCAGCTATGCCATGGAGATATTCTTCGCGCACTTATTTGGACTACTACAACCTCGAGGTCTACACTTCCACGACGACGCCGCCAGCAAGGTGTGCGCAAGGTGGCCCTGCTGGCCGTGGGCCTGCGCCCAGTCCGGGCAGTACCCCTCAGCTTTTCACAGGACACAGTGATCAGTGCCCTGATGGCTTTGTGTCCTCACATCCATTGGTCCGGCTTTCAATGGCCCATGATTGAAGATCTGTTGATCGATGATTCTCACTTCGTTTGGTTGACCACCATGCAGACCAGGGACGACTGGCAGGGCCAAGCATTTGGCCCATCTCTGGCGGGACCCATTGAGCGGGCTGCCATCTCGCTACACGGTTTTCAGCAGGCAGGGGCCGCGGCTGCGGCGAAAGCCATGCCGCCATTGATTCCCTTTGGCGTGGGTGATGAACGACACTTTGAGCTGGCAATGGACCTCAAATCCCAGCCTACCCCTTTTGAATCGATGGGTGTTGTTGATGATGATTTGATCTTTGCTGCCGACCAGTCGACAGTTGGGTGCATCATTACGAACCACCAGGCAGCATATGACGCGCTGGATTCACGAGCTGGCCCGGCGCACCTGGCCTATCACTGAGTGGCTACGCCAATTTCAACCACTGGTCCGGCACGAGTTACTAGAAGCCGCCACATTGCCCTGATCGGCTTATTGATGATGTTCATCGGGTGGCCTGACCCTACCTTCATGGAGTGCCTGATCTTCGGTTTTCCGGCAGTGGGTTTCTCCCCACATGTGCCAGTCTACAAAGCCCAGCCAGCCAGCTGTATCACCTCGTCGGAGGTGGTGCACGGGGCGTGGCAGGATGCAGAACGCCTCATTCGCACCTTGCAGTCATGCGAACACGACGAGGCTATCGTTCGGGCTGGGTCAGACGACGAAGCACTGGGGTTTTGTGGACCCGCCATGTCTTGGTCCCAACTTTGCCGCCAAGTACGTCACTTTCGCCTGATTCGGCGGTTTTGCATTCAGCAACCCAGCGGAAAGCTCCGAGTCATTGATGACGCTGCTGACGGGGACAAAGTGAACTTAGCCACGATTCCAATAAACTGGACCTGTGCATCCAACGAGGTTTGCGTGTGCAACTTCTCTGGCGGGCAGTCAGCCCTCTTCCCAATGCAGACGCATTGCTTGCAGAAGGCATTTGTTCAGGGGGTGAAGACCTGCCCAATGCATACCGGCATGTTCCCATGGTCCCAGAGCACTCCAACCTTGCCATCGTCGCCTACTACGACCATCATGTCGGGGAGCCTCGTTTCCGCCGTTATTATGGTTCACTGTTTGGCCTGCCCAACGCTGTTTGCTCCTTCAACCGGTTCCCTCGGTTCTTTCAGGCTCTTTGTCGCCGCGTGGGATATTGTTTGGCCAGTATGTACTTCGACGACCTTACCGTCCAGGACCTGGGCAGCTTGAAGGGTTCAGCCCAACAGTTCATTACCTCGCTGGCCACCGAACTTGGCTCACCATTTCAACCGGAGAAGCATCAGACCATGCAAAGTCAATCTGACTTTCTGGGGCTGGTACACGATGTTAGCACTTGTCACCAGGGGCAGCCTGACAGATTTTGGCCGAGAGATCGTCTGATCACTAAGGTCACGGACCTCATGGACGAAGCCACCGAAACAAACCGACTCCCGCGAGGTCTTGCTGCCAAGCTGTTTGGTTGCCTGGGCTTCCTCAACGCGGGGTGTTTTGGGAAGTTGGGGAGATCAGGATTGAGTCCACTGAAGGAACGTCAGTATTCTCGTGACACCGCTTTGACTGAGGACCTCTCACGTTCTTTCGTGACCATCAAATCCCTCCTCGCCTTGCGTCCTGAGCGAGAACTACCACTTCAGCCCGGTAGCCGGCAACGCTACGTCGCGGCATCCGATGCGGCCCAAGACGAGCCTCGGCAAGGTTCAGCGGGCCTGTTATTTGTTGGACCCCAAGGTGAACGAGGTGCCTATGTCATTGACATTACGGCGGAGCTCTTCAACCTCTGGTCCGAGCACCCCACCAAAATCGCCCAGTTGGAGCTTCTTACAGTTTATGTCGGCTTCATCTTCGTGGCCAGCCAGGCCCGCTCCTGTCAGGGGCTTTGGTTTGTGGACAACATTGCAGCGCTGGTGGCCCTAGTCAAGGGCAGGAGTGATAACCCGGAGCTGGACACTATGGCAGGATGTATCCATGCTCTTCTCTATTCACTGCGCAGTGGATGCTACTTTGAACGGGTCCAATCAGCAGACAATTGGTCCGATGGTATTAGCAGGCAAGGGATTCACGATAAATGGTATCAGGCTCATGGCTTCCGTGTACATCGCGTTCCAGTACTCCGCCTACCATACGTCATTATTCCAGTTCTTCTGAGTGCTGTGGGTATGTAGAATGCATTGTGAACGAATACCTGGCAGAGGTATGCGCCAGGGGTGCGCGCAGCGTGGGCTGCTGTGACAGGGTCACATTAACCAAAGCACTTTTGAACAAGACTTTTGAAGCTCGTGCGAAAAAGAAGCGAACCAAGTCCGACTCGTCATACATCAAGTCAAGTGTAACTGATGCAGCCGAATATATATATATATATATATATGTGTAACGCTGGGTCGTGAAGTTTCTGAAGATCAACGCTGTTTGCGTTTTTTGCCCAGGAATCCTTGCAGTGGACCTTTGAATGAGACCAAGGCGTGCTGGTTTTTGAGATCCGTGCAGATTGTTGTTGGGCCCTGGGTGATGGCCGCACTGTGAGGCTTGCTTTGAGGACAATGCTCCCGAAAGCTGCCTGTGGACTTTATGGAGCCAATGGGGAAGGCTGCGCTTAGAGTCTTAGAGGAGAATTATCATTCTATTTCTCAATAGAAAAGAGTCTGGCCGCAATCTGTGGCGCAAACGCAGCCCCTGTATTCGAGTAATATTTTTGTGTTGCTTTCCTGTGCCTGCACCTCCATGCTTGGTTAGTTTGGGTCGAGTGTTTTGTGTCCGGTTGCTCTTAGTTTCTTGCTGTCGTTCCAATGCTTTGTTGTGATGCCTGGAGAGGCTGCTGTCGAACACATTGAACCTGCAGTTTTTGCTACCCACAACAACAATTCTTGCTGAAACTGTTTGGAGCCTATGCTGGTATGAATGTATTCACTTTGCTTGTAGATCCGGCGCAGGAGTTTCATGCCACGCACGTTTGTTGCTCCAGATGGGTCTTGTTGCTTTCTTCCAGGTTGAGTGATGCTTTACCCGGGTTGCTTACTGTACACACACAGACACACAGATATATATATATATAACCGTCCTTAAGTACATAGAATACGGAATTGAGCCGCCAAAGTACATTCCGTCATTGCAAATCCATATTCTAGGTACCCTGCTTTGACCAAAATAAAAAGGTACTTGGCATATTCCCAAGCGGATCAATTTGGGTACTTGGAAAATCTTGGAATATCTAAGTTTGTACGCGCGGGTGTTTCGATCGAGGCAAGCGGGTGTTTCAAGAACACAATCCTGAAGATTATTTTAGGGACCCCGATATTATTTTTTTGTTTGAGTGCCGCGGGATTGAGCTGCACCGAAATTCTATGAACTTCACGATGGTTATATATAGATATATTTATGCGCGAACATAAGCTATCATAAACAAATTATACATCTACATCATCCTGACTTGGATAGCCATCCTTCCCTTTTGTCACGCGTTCCAGTAATATGCAAAGTCCTGCCGATTCTCACGCAAGTCTGCGGGCCAAATGTTTTTGCATTTGGAATCAGATATGAATGCCACTTGTCCATTTGATGCAATTCTTTGCTGTAGCCAGGTGTAGCTTCTCATGCGGAGATGGTCGACGCACGAGGCCATTGGAATTAGTTCTAGTCCAGGAATATCAACACCCCGTGACTTTGTACGAGGATGCGTCGAATTCAGGCAGAATCAGATCCAGGCCTGTCAGGGTGGCTAAAGCTATCCCTTTGCTCCCTTGAGCAACTTTCTGCAGGGGAGCGTTGAACATACTTTCATTGTTTTATCTCTTGTTGTTTCTATTTGGCTGTAGCACTGTAGCACCAGCTTGTATGGATAAATACTCTCATTGGGTATGTGGTTCTTTTGGAAGTCTCCCATCACCCTGGAAGTCAGGAACTTATGGACATGGGATTGTACAAAGTTCCAGGTTCTTTTGCTTCTTGAGAGTATGGGGTACTGTCATTAAGCACATTTTCAGGGCAGGCCAAGTAGCAGGGTTGTGGCATTTTATTGGTGGACAGATGTGATTTGTTATCTCTTTGACTTTGGCTCAGCTCCATTTTATGAGTCTGAGCTCTCCTGGCTTGAATGAGCCTCATCACTCATCATGCTATGACGCCCCACGCCACGCTTCTTCCAACACTTTCTCCTGGTCCTATTCATATTTTGAAGACCATAATTTAGTGCTACAGCTGTGATTGCATATGGCATATGTGATGGTCGTCCCATACTTTGGGATTATGACCATATTGAATAATTTTCACTTGCTTACTGTGTCGAGGACGACACACTCAAAACAAGAAGTGTACCGTGAGCCCTTTTGCGGACGTTGAGCATTGCGCATTGAGCAACAAGTCGGGTTGTGTTGCGCATTGAGCACTGTGCATTGAGCATTGGTTGAGTGTAGTGGTTCCAACAGTTGGAAGGAGAGAAGGACGGGAACCCAATACAGTTGCTTTGCCTAGGTGTGCTCTTGCAACGGGAGCCACATACAGATGGGTCAAAGTTGCTTTCAAGCCAAGTGTCTTTGAGGTCAACAGTCGAGACGATGAAACCAAGGCCGTTCGTGAGTGGTCCTGGATTTTCGAGAAGTACTTGTTTGACTTCAGGTGATGAGAACTACGTGACTTACTTGAAGGAAACCCATCAAAAGCCGAATGAGACCTTTGACATGGATAAGATTCATCAAGTTGTAAAGATAGCTCGCTTTTAAGAGCGTTGGTGGCGGTGAGGGCCGTTGGAAAGTCGAAAGATTTTGGTGCTTGGAGGAGCCCGTGGATTAGCCTTGCAGGTGGCCAGCCTCTATATACACTGAACGCAGCTCTACAGCAACAGTTCGGGGGCTTCAAGTCAGGAGGAGTTGAAGTCCACAATCCTTCTGAGGCTCTTGGGAGGGCAATTGAAGTCATACTTGAGAACCTCACCATAGGAGACGTGGTGAGGTATTCAGATTTAAGGCCCAATGCCATTGGATATGGACCGAGTGCAGGAGAAGGCCAAAGGCCAGCGTGAACACCAGAAAGGCAATGGGAAGGACAATAAAGGCAATGGCGAGGAAGGAAAAAGCGATCAACAGGAGGGGAATGATTAACAAAGGCAAAGGAAGGGAGCGGAAGGGAAATGTTGGGGCTTCCTTCACATGTGGCAAGCTGGATCATATGGAGCAATGTGGGCAGCCCAGTCCTGTACGGTCCGTACAGTTTCCAAAAAAGGATCGGTGCATTGGTGCGTACCCAATAGCTTAGCACGGGCTGGGGAGAAATTGAGTCAATTAACAAAGACTGCATTTAATTGGAAGGGCACTCTAGGAAATTTGAAGGGCACTCTAGAAAGTGTTGATTTCAGTGACGTGCATCGTTTGTTGCAACTGCTTCGAACCAATCTAGACAAATATTCCAGATTGACCAACCCAGCGCCAGCATTTGCCTCGGACCGCTCTGGAAATGACTCCAGACCTCCAGCGCAGCCGGTGAAACCAGAAGTTCGAATTCCAATGACAAGTTGTACTTCGATGCCAGTCGTCGTTGACCGCATCAAATGGAAGCGCGCGCCAAATTTTGATCATGTCCTTTTTGTCAGACAGAATTGTTCGAGAAACCTACCAGAGCCGGACGAAGCGTCACAGCAGCAAACCTCAGCGGAACCCGGCCACCATCTTCGAGCTACGTGAGTGGTACGCTTTCGAGCAGTTTCACAAAATCGCAACAATTCACTACTACGTTGTGGACGACGACGATGAAGTTGCAAAGGACACAATGGGTCTTTTGGCCTAAGGTTAAGCGGAATGAGAAGGTTGAGTGAGGAGAATGGGGATGCGTCCACCATCATCGACAGTGGAGTGGAGCAGACGTAGCGGTTTCGCTTGGGGGAGGACGGGGTTTCGGGGTGAGCTCCCGGCTTCAAGATGCTCAGGCGAATAGAGTACCGACAGCCGACAGGAGGAATGAAAGGGGTTGAGATTTCGTTGCAGGAGCTGGACGGCGAAGAAGTGATTCTCAAAGAGAACGTAGTCTTCAGTTCAAAGGTCAATCAGCCCGTCCTGTGCCATGGGCGATTCATGGAGCAGAGGGCAAGCGCTGGAGAACAGCAGGTTAAAGGCCCCTTCAATTGCAAAACGAGACCTTGGTTGTTCATGGTTGAGTTCGTGTCATCAGGAATGAGAACGATGAAAAGGCTGCAGGCTGGAAGTCTGGAAGTTGGCGGCGGGAAGTTGCTGCAAAGGTGCCAGACGAAGCCACGCAAGCAAGGCGCGACCCACGCGCTTTCCACATGCAGGAACGTTCAACATCGAGCGCGACCAGACAGGCGCGAGAGAAACGAGGGCACTCAGGCCAGCTCGGTTCCAGAGACAAATCGGCAGTTCATAGCCAGACAGGTTACTTCCGTGTTAGGCCACTTGCGTTGTATCGTTGGAGTACTCATGAGTTTCATCCAGATTCAGGAGTGACAAAGAGCCACCAACCAGACAATTCTTGGCCTGACCACAAGGCTCCATCCTACGAAGCGGGGTCACCACTCTTTCTCGTTTGGCTTGGGGAAGGCTGAGGCTCAGGACACCTACGCTCTCACGTATGGCGCCCATGTCTCCATAATCTTAAGCGCATGCGTCGGAGGACGGACCAGGACTGAGGAAAACCTTCCTTGCAAAAACTTCAATGCTTTCTCACAGGAGTTCCAGACCAACTTTGGAAGAGCGAATTCGCGCGAGAGCACATCGTAGACGCAGAAGTGATGATTCGGTGTTGCCAACAGAAGGGTCAGTCCAGATGGAAGATCACTCAAAGTTGTTGCAAGACACAAAGCTATTTACAAGGTGCAGAAGCATTGGGCATTTCCGTTGTCAGGAAAGGTATGATGTGGCCTTTGTCGTGAAAGAACTTGCGGTTAAGGCGTCCAATCCTACTTCATCACTTGACAGGATGTTGGTACCCGAAGGCCGACGGGCTACTGTTTGGTAGTGAAGTTCTCACAAGCTGGTAAGGGGATGATCAGTGACCGGTGTTTGAAGACGATCGCAGCTTCTGACTGGAGTGGAAAGGAGCAACGCAGACGGTCAACGTAAAAACCTCTCCACTCACCTAAAGGACGCCCTCAATGCAACAGTAGTAGAAAACAGAAGGTTGTCAGTTTGTCGTTTTGTGAGGCAGAACCTCATGTCACGGGGCCAATGTTTTAGACGGGGCCGACATCAAAGCGGTAATCGAATTTGCTTTGCAGACGGCGGAGGTGAAACGTTTCTTGTCACAGACTCTTCAAGTGCACGGCAGCTAAACTGCACGGCGTTATAACTGCGAGGAGAGATTGTTGGCAAAATTTGCCAGCTGAATGGAAAAGACATCTCCATCACGCAGGTTCCAACAGAAAGCAATCTAGCTGCTCTCAATACCAAGCCACTGGGAGGCCAGAGGGCTCGCTTCTTGATGGGCCTTTCAGGGTATTGGGAGAAGGAAGTGCGCCCAGAGGTTAGTGCAGAGGAGATAAAGGCGCATGAAGAGAGGAGGAGTTTGCAAAGAAGGTCAAAAACGTTGCCAAAGTGTTGGTGAGGATGGTGGCGTCTGAGGGCTTGCAGCCAACGGCTACAGACGCGTTTAGCTTCATGACTGCAAATGTTGAAGGCCAATGCCCAATCAGGGAAGGTGGAAAGGTTGAGCCCAGTTTCATGTTCCTGTTCCTTTTGATTGTCTTCGGATTTGCAGCGGTTGCGGGTGGTTCTTTCTTTGGATGAGGGTTGAACGGGGGTTTGAGAGTTGGGGCAGTAGGGCAAAACATGTCTTGACAGAAAAGAAGAGGACAAACATGGATCTTCGTGAAAACCATGCGCGAAGGATAGTGGACCCGTTTTGAACGGTGGGTTCATCGCGGAGGAAGATCCACAGAGAGACCACAGACAAGCCGACGACGTGATCAATGTGGCCAACGCAGGAAACCATGTGGCTAGGAACCTTCAAGATCTTCGAAACACAAGCGGCAGGTGCAGTGAGCATGACCTGTTGCTACTTGCTGCTACGCAAGGTGCTGTACCTTAGAGGGGTCCGGCGTCAAGACCACCAAGGAACAGCGCAACAGGATTCAGAGACCCAGAGAACACAACAAACCTGTAAGAACTGAGGGAACGAATGCAAGTCTGTATGGCAGAATTCAAGACAAGATGCACAGGCTTCAAGGCCAAGAGCAGAGGTTGGTGATACAAGGGCGGGAAGAAGAGGGAATTCGAGTGACATTGAAAAGCAGAAGTGCTATGAAATGCTCGAAATCCCAGGTGGATAGCAATAGAAAGAGAAGAAACCATCCATGTGCAGGATGACGCGTTCAAAATGAGAAGTGCCGTAAGCCCTTCCCCATCTCTAAAACATTCGTTTTATATGTATATATTATAATATAGTATATATATATATGTTATATTGTGTTTAATCCATTGTTTTTCACTTCCTTGTGTCCTGGGTTTTTCACTGGCCACTGGCCGGTGTCATTTTGCTAGTTGACGCATTCTAAAGTAAGGTTTTTGGCCAACTGTGCAATAAGTATCTGCACTCCGCCAACAGATGTGGCACCGCTTACATTGGCCGGCGCTCTATATGAAAAAGGTCGTTCTCTATTCTTGTACTAACAGGTGAAAGTGACATCGCAGCTTGCGTGTGGTGCCGTCACCCTTCCCGTGATGCACATTAACTTTAGGCATGGCCTTAGATGGCTTTCCTGGCGTGCCCACTTGGGCCGATCCCTTTTCCTCCAATGACTGGCCCCAGTGAGAGCATGGCCTGAGGGGTCTTCCACACTCCGCAGATTTGACTGGTTGGCCTTCCTCACGCCAGGTGGCCTACCATGCTGGGGAGCTTCCCTGGAAAATGGAGCTTGCAACAATGGTGATTGCGCACCAACAGATTGCAGGCCAACGTCACTTGCGTTGTTGGGGTCCTGTGCTGATAAAGGTCTCTCTCTCTCTCTCTATATACATATATATGTATACACATTACACACATGTTTTTTGATATGAAAAGGCATGCTTTGACACCTTGTCTGAGTCTACACGAGGTCTATGCAGCGTTTTTCCTCCTATATAGTATGCATAGATCATAGATGCCAGTAGACTCCTCCGGTTTCACAAACAAGACGCTGGACCCAAAATTACTCACATGCTTTTGCGCCCGATCGTTGCAGGCTAAATCCATGGTCTCCATGGTCTGAGTGTGAGGTGCGGCCAATTTGACACGCTCAGGTGCCCCATTGGTGATTGCTGGCTGAACCTGAAAGACCTAAGGCTCTGAACACGCAGCGCTACCGACGCCGGAGTGTCGAAATTGCACCCAGCAACGGAGGACGCCGGAGCCACAGTACTGATTTCGAGCACGTTGACCAGAAATAACAATTTGTTTTGTAGAAAGTGCCTTAGGTGCCTGCGACCTGTACTTGATCATGCCGCGACCTGATGTGTTGGGAGTCAACACGCTTAGCCTTGGCGTCCTTTACGCCATGGTGTAGAGTTGCACGTTAGTTCGCACAGAGATTCTCCTGGAAATAGCTTGTGAAAAGGCAAAGATACGTCTTACATCATGCAATATGGTTGATGAATCATTCGGACTGACAGCTCTTTTTGGGCTGTTGTTCTGTGAATGTCAGGACAGTGGCTTGCTCTGCGCTGTGACCCCAAGACATGCTTATCGTTTCCTATTCTTGGCGACCACTTCCTGCGGGTTGCTCTGCGCAACGAGGCCCAGCACTGAAGGAGAAGAGTGCGAGATTGGCCTGTGGTCGCAAGAAACCGAGATCACTCTTGTTTAAGTGTGCAGGTTCCAAGACATAACACTGGTCCTGTGCAATCATCCAAACAGCAACTGATCAGAGGAGCGTGTTCAAGATGTGGCTATCGTTTTCCTCGCATGTCGCAGAAGCGGGTGTACTGTACTGGGGGACCTCGTAGAAAGGCACATGTTGTTGCTGCTTTGTTGATGACGTCATCTTTGAAGGGGCTGGCGCCCCAACCATTCGCTGATCTATCAGATCTCCCAGTCCCAGTATGTAGGAGGCCATCCACCTCAATTCTTCTTACAGCATTGCTGTGTTCTTTGTGTTATCTCAGGCTTGTTCTTGAGCCCCAAGTTCTTGTAAATAGATGATCAGTGATCTCGAAGCACAGCTTTTCATGTCGTCAGTTATCAACAGTCTAAATGACGGGCAACTCAAGGATGTATATTTAGCTCGGGGTTTTGATTTGGTTGTTATGTTCCATGAAAGCTGTGATTTCAACTTCTTGTTGATCATTTTTGTTCTCATCCGTCCACCTTTTCTCATCTTCCTTTCGGTAAGTTGCTTAATGGCTTTGCTTTCAGAGCCCTAATCTATTTATTTCACCATTTCTATCCGTGCCATGTCTCTCCATACGTTGTACTTCTGTTTGTCTCTAGCGACTTACCTATCAGATACTATCAGCGATTGATCATGCCTTCACTTGGCTACACGAACTTGGAGAGATTTTTCAACATGAGTTGGGGTTCTTTGCCAGTCTTTTGCACTGTTGCCCTGGCTTCTGTTCCCTCTCTTGTCAGGTGATCCCAATGGTTGTTCGTATGTTCTGTGAGGCTCACTTGCTGAACATAGACAAATCATACTCCACAATGTCATGACGTACAACGCATATAGGCTCAACGTTGTTTCAGAATCTTTTGACCAACGTGGCTGAACCAACCATGCGGGCTTTGCCTAGCTCCGCTGGGTCTGAACTGTTGGGCACCAGATATTGATGTCGAACCAAAGGAGACTTGAAATACTTCTTCAGGCAATGGAGCGATTGCTCGAAGTGGTAGCCCAAGCTATTCAGCTAAGCCAGATTGCGGGTCAAGATGGTCGATATGATGAGATACTGTTTCGATCTCAGGACTTGCGGCGGTGGCCAAATGTATCGAAAGCGGGAGCTTGCACTTTGCACGCAAGTGCCAGTGTTACATGCATTCATGTTGAGCATTCATCATGTATGGGTGTTCGCAGTGCTGCACAAGCTAAGTTGAAGCCAAACACGAAGGGCGGCTACTGCCATCACGCTGTTTGTGGCCTATCATATTGGCAGAGTGTCGAATCCACATGAAACGTGTGGTTGTGCATCCTCACCGCTTTTGATAATCCTGGCGGCCCTGGCGCTATTCAAGGTTTTGCAGCAAGCAGAACCGTGCGGGTTCGAAGCCAATGGAAGAGGGATATGCTTGGTTTCAAAGGGCAAGAATTAGAGCAATCGGTTCAAATCCTTGTTTAGCTACGAGTTTCCTGAGTTTCAGGCAACTCCGTGTCACCAATATTCATCAAAATATGTTATGTACAAAGAGTATATATATATATACATGTTGACCTATTCGTATTGCAGGAGAGTCTGAGCCGTTCAGGATGGACCCTTGCAGAGCCGTTGGACCAGCCGATTGTAAGTTCGAGCATTGGGGCACATGGTGTGGTCCTTTGTTGACCTTGCAGAGCATAACAAGATACTTGGTGGCTGTAATTTCCACTTGCATTGCTGACTAAGCAGAACGTAAGATGCTTTGTTGAGGTCAAATTGTGATGTTGCTTGCGGAAGAGGGAGCAGGGAACGCTACAGAAAGGCCAGTGATCTTTGGTACGCTCCGGAGTGCTAAAAGGTTGAAGCACACCATGGACCATGGACCATATTCAGATCGCTGTGTTTGCGATGGACAGTGGCCGCGGTTGTTGCGGGCTCAATGCTCTCTCGCTTTGAAGCCGGTGTATTTTTCAATGCTGGCCAAGGCGAAGGAGCTACACAAGAGCTTTCATCCTGCCAGTTACAGGATTGCGAGGTTGGAGAGTTAACAGATGTCATCCTACTAGTTCAAACAAATTACAATAATTACAGTGACGTTTTGGCCGTCGGCTGCTTTTTTATGACTTCCTTGGCTGCAGGTGGTCGACTGCCAATGGAGTGCCGAAGACCTCAGTTTTTCTGCAATGTTTGAGTTGCTCCTTCTAGGAGGTTCCAACTTACTATAATTCCTTACTATAATTCCACCCCGGTTGCCCACTCCCCTAGGAAAGCATCCCTTTACGCTTTTCTCCTGAGGAGTGGTATGAGTGGTCTGTGTGCTCGGCTTCGTGTGACGGAGGAACCAAGCGCAGGAGCCCTACACTGACACAAAAAACATCAAAAGACTGTTGATGACCTAACAGAACTTGTAGTGCAGTAGCAAGGTCTGTGAGCCCTTTCGATAGAACCCAAAGTGCCGAAGCACGACAGGTCGAAACCGGAATGTCGCCGTCGCACCCCAAAATGGTGGCAGGCAAGAGCGTTTTTTGTTTCTCAAAAGGACCGCATTTCGAAGATAAAGCTAAGTCATTTTCGTTAGAGTGGCAGCCTGTGTTGAGGAATAGCAACCTATGGAACTTGTATGATGAACCGCTGAACCCCTGCAGTCTTTGCGTCCCCTACGACAAAAGCGAGATGGCGTCGGCAGCCAAAATCTGACTTGCATAACTCGTGGAAGTGCAAGAGAGGCAGGATAATGACACACCTACACACATACCCCAATAAAGGGAGACTCTGGCTGACTCTCTCTCTCTCTCTCTTTGTTTGTCTCAGCATGTTATCAGAAACTTTTCATGTCTTTTCATGACATGTCTCACACACGCAACCCTAAACCAAGTGCTGAAATCCTACCAAGCACTCTTTTTCGAGTCATCTACTGACGTGGAGGGTGCTGAGGACAGGGTGCAGCCGACTTTCTCTACGATTCGGCAGACGCTTTTATCATTTTGACAGACATTCACCATGGACTGCCCTGTTCACTTTAGATGTATACAAACCGCCTGAATACAGGCTCAAGATCCTTTGCAGAAAAACAATTTGCGGCGCGCTTCCGTGTCTTTCATGGTAGCGGAGCCTCCGGCAGGCTCTGAAAAGATACCCTGCAAGAACGAGAAAGCGGACCTTTGGGAGGCCACAGGGGCCAGAAGAAGAAGAAGAAAAAGAAGAAGTGAGAGGAGGAAAGAAGAAGGAATTAGGGAAGACAAAGAGAAGGGGGAATGGATGCAGAGGCGCTGCAAGCTCTGAGTACAAAGCAATCATCAGAAGCAGCAGTTGAAGCAGTGAAGCTGTTGAGGAGAAAGATAAAGGGAAAGGAGTTGGGAAAGGATAAGGCTTCGGCAGTGCTAGCAAAGTATTGAAGCAACCTGAGGTGTTCTCACCATTGAATCAGGAAGGAGAGACTGCACAGTGGCAGGACTGGAGGTTGATGTTTTTGTGAGGGCCCATGGCCGCCTTTTGCAGATGGCAATTGCGAGACCATGGACTTTGCTGAGATGAGCGAAAGGCACAGCAGGTCAGAGCAGCTGCATACACTTTTTGGTGGAGCGGACCTCTGAAGGCTTTGAGATCATGGCGTTGAGGGAGGCAGCTCAGGCCAAAGACGAGAACGAGGACCATTGCAATGCTGCAGACTTACTGAGCCCATCCAGTGTTCAACAAAAATCGAGCTTGAGCAGGAGAATACCATGCCATTTCTGGTGAGGAGATAGCTCAGGAGGGTAATGCCGCAACATCTCAGACAGCGTTTGCAGTGACCATGGATGACAAAGCAACGTATAGTTCACGGTCAGCGCGCAGAGAGATTGACACAGCGCCATGATGACGTTATTCTTGTGGAAGTCAACAGGGTGAAGGTAAAGACAAAGGCAAACGCTAAAGGGAAGAACAAAGGGAAAGATGGCGCAGGCAAGAAAGGTCTTTCAGCAGATGTGTGCAAATTGCGCGGGCGGGGGCCAAGGCCATCGGCGTTGAGAGAGTCCAGTTCGCACTCTACGCCAGGTTGCTCGTTCTCTCAGCGTGGCGGGCCGCCAGTCCGCAGCCGCTCAGGAGGAAAGAGTGAGCTTCGTGGACCTGGCTGGTGATGGTTTATGGCCGGTGTGGGTTGCCAAACGAAATCTCACAGACGGCGGCGCTATGCGCCAGGCCATGACCGTGTTGGAAGGAGAAGCTGGACACATCTGAGGGGGCTTTGCGCTGTCGAATGTTTCTGTGTTGGCTCTGAAAATTTCGAGAAAGGATGGAAACTTGAGGGCGCCTATGATCATGCGCGTTTGGCCTATGGTCTTCCAGCAAGGCTTCAGGCGTAACTTGTTGGTTGTTGAGGCAAAGTTTTGACAGGTTGAAGGAGAGAAACCAGGGGGCGAAGGGAAGAAAACAGGTAAGGATGGTCACTTGCTCTTGACGGGCCTGTGAAGACCTTGGCGTCTATCACCAAGCAGACGCGTTCCTGTCTTGGTTTGTTCAATAAAGGCAGCTACCCTCACTTCAGCAGAGTGGACGTCCCCATAAACAGGATGGTGATGGTGGTGGCCAAGAAGAGAAACTGATGGAGTCAATGGACATCGGAGAGGACTCCACATTCCTGACTCCTTGAGGTGAGTAAGAAGTTGAGGAGAGAAGAAGGAAGATGAAGGGAGGAAGACGAGGAGACAGCTGTTTTGGCCGCAGTCTTGAAGATGGAGTGTATGAAGGGGAGGATGAGGAAGAAGAAGTTGGAGATCAACTTGCGGCAGATGAAGGTGATCGTGTTCCACGAGCGCCAGCGCCGACGGAGGAGGAAATCAAAGAGGTAGAATGTGAAGGAGCTCTTCTGCTGGCACTTCCTCACGCTGGTTGTTCGCCCAGTGAGAAGTGGGAGGGAGTATGGACGGAGGAAAAGTGGCCACGTTTGGAGAGCGTCTTGGACTTCTAGAGGAATGGACCCTGCAAAAGGCGTGGCCAGGTCCGTGTGAAGGGGGCAGCTCAGTGGTTTCAAGACTTGAAGTCGACATTGAGGAAAGGAGGGTTAGAGCCACTTTGCTTGTCCACGTTGTCCGCATTGGTGTGGAATCCCAGCTTCAATCTTGCCTGCTGGATGATCTCGAGCAACATCCTCGTCAAAGGCTCCCCGCCACCTTTCAGGATGACCCTCAAGCAGCCCAAGCTGCTAACGAACGAAGGGACCAGTCATCAGTGGCGCTGCAAAGCTACAACGCCATGCAAACCACCCTGATACATCATCCTCATCAACTCCATCCCCACTCTTTGTGAAGCTGTGGAGATGATTGGCGTAGCTGCCTCTCCTTCTTGTCGAGTCGAATTCTGCACCTTGCAGCGTGCGTCTTCCCTTTCTCTGACGTTGATACGGCCAGTGCGTCAACTCGTGCGCTTCTCTCCGCTTTACTTGGAATCCTTGGCGCAATCTGCCCTTTAGCCTCTTCTCCTCCATCAGCGTTGCCCTTCTGAAACTCTTGTCGTGCAAGCCCCTAAGCTCAGGTTCTCGGCAAAGTGAACGTAATGATGGACCAACTGTGCCCAAGCGTCCTCCTTCTTAGTCTTTCCTCTTCCGAGACCACACGCTGCCTCATTGCAACGCGTAGCGGTGATGTTGGAGAATGATTTGGGGATGGCTGAACAATTGGTGAAATTCAGAAACACGTGGGTTTACTTTAGGTGCGCATTGAGGTTGAGCGAAGATATGGAGCAGGAGACGAAGCCAGTACAGAGCGTGACAGTGACAATGTTCCTGGATACATGGATGGGGAAGTGACAATGTGCCTGGGAGAGCGCACGCTAGCTCAAAACCTTTAGAAAACACTGTCAATACCGCGCAAAATTTCAGCAACTGGTCTGAGACCTAGGCGAAACGCGTATTTTCAGCCTTCCTGTGCCCAGTCTGGAGGTGCAATGTCAATTACAACAATTAACAGCTGTTCGTCTGCTTACTATCAATGTGTAACACCAATGACGAGTAGGTTGATCTTTCTCTGCGTGCAATGAATGTAGCATCACGAGCAAATATCATACTATATATATACACAGCAAGATGAACATGTATGCCAGTGATATTGCTTTAGTCCTCTTGCTTCTGGTTTTTCATGATGTATTTTTACGTGGCCACTTTGTAAAAAACATCTCTCAGGAGCACCGGTATTGTTAATAAACAGGCTTCCCCCCTCCCCCCTCACTTTGACCTTGAATAAAGTTCATTCCAGGTTCTAAGAAAGGAGTTTAAGAAGTAAATGAAATGAATCTTTACTTAGGACAATTTCCTGCAATTGAGATCAAAGAGACTTCTAAGAACAGAATTTAATAAGGAAAGGCAAAGAAGTTTTTTATTGACGCAGAAAGGAAATTCTAAGAAACGAGTTTAATAAGGAAATCAAATGAATCTTTACATAGAACGGAAAGGGAATTCTAAGAAAGGAGTTGCGTAAGTGAAATGAATATTTTTCTGAGAGCAGAGAGGGAATTTTCAGACAGGAGATTAATAAGGAAATGAAATGAATATTTACTTAGATACTTAGAACAGGCAACAAACATGTTTAGCTTTATTTGGGGCGCGCTTTATTTAGGGTATGGTGGCTTCAAGAAAGGAGTTTAAACAGGGAAATGGATCTTTACTTAGAACAGAAAGGGAGTTCTAAGAAAGGAACTCAAGTGAAATGAGTTTTTACTTAGAACAGAAAGAGAATTCTAAGAAAGGAGTTGAATAGGAAATGAAATGAACCTTTACTCAGATTCTTAGAACAGGCAACACACATGTTTAGCTTTATTTAGGGTGCACTATATTTAGGGTATGGTGGCTTCATGAGGGGTAATTAAGGGTTTTATCAAGAATTTTTTCTACGCAGGACTTGCGTTTAGCGATACTGTCGGAAGCACAGTGGCGCCAGTACTCGGCAAAAGCCGTTGCGCAAACCGTGAGATCTATGCGTCCGTGTCAGACATGCAATATATTACAAAGAGGGTGCAACTTACCACGAATGTCTGCTGCGCGACCAAGTTTAAGAGAAAACCAGAAAACCAAAAAACCAAAAACAAAACCAAAAAGACAAAACCCAAAACCAAAAACCCAAAAAACATAACAACTAAAAAACCAATGTTTGAGACAAAATGGAGACAACCCCCCCCGCCCCCCAAAAAAGCCCAACTGTTATAGAACTCCCGTTTTGTCTCAAACATTGGTGTTTGGTCTTTATGTTACTTTTGTTTTTGTTTTTTGGTTTTGTAGTATTTCCTCAAAACTGTTATAGGCCTGGCCCTCACAAAATTGATCTAACAATAGTTGAAAACCTAGGTTGTGGTGATGTTTTAGCGAAACATCATTGTAAAACATAGTGTTTTTGATCACCTCTTGCGCAAAAAACATCTCCCAGGAGCACCCGTTCTGATCAAAATTAGGCATCAGGTTCAAGATTGGCTTTCAATCAAGCGGTCACGACGTGTAAGCTGCCTCGGGGCAGGGAAGGAAAAGGAGAAGAAGGAGAGGGGAGGAGGAGGAGGAGGGACCAGATGAGGGTCCACCTGGTCTACGATTACATGCGCATATCAGGATGCTGACGTTAGAAGGAGAAGAAGATGAGAAAAGAGAAGACGCGAGAGGATCAAGGGATCCAGATCCAGCACAAGGCCCAGGTGGAGGCCCAGTTCTTCAAAGAAAAAGCCGAGAACGGGACTTACTTGTCTGGGCATCGAGGAGAAGAAAGTAGAAAAGAACACATCGCCCATTACAGAAGCTTAGAAGGAGCATCTGTGGGACTATGAAGGTTTGGGCTTGAAGGCATATTTCAATTGGCTTCGTGAAGGCTTTGGCGCTGAGGTCTACATCCTGGAGAAACTGAGAGCTTTCAGAAGGAGACAATCCAGATGATGACGCAGTCGACGATGCAATTGAAACGTTCATGCAGTATTTCAGAGATGCGCAGCAAGGAGGCCCTATAGTCAGAAAGAGGGCGATCAACTACGTGTTTTCGACGAGTCGACGAGATAATGAATCTACCACATCAAAGCTGGTCACGATGTTCAAGACTGTCCACGCGAAGAATCCAGGTGGCCAGACGGTTGGATCAGCGTGAATTGTGGATTACGGCGTTCAGGCAGAGGCGAGATTGAGTTTGAAAGAGAAGGCCATATAGGAGATCATCAAGTGACGCAACAAACTCAACTGAGGAGTATGAAATAGAGAGTGACAGACCACAGAGAGAGAGATCGAAAAGGAGCAAAAGAGTAGCTTCAGAAGAGAAGGGGCCTTACACGTAAGGCCATGGAAAGACAACGGCTGAGAGTGGACAGAATGGCAAAAAACCTATGTGAGAAAGGAGGCAAGACGACTACCAAGAGTTGAACGGTGCTTTAAAACAACGGGGAATTCAATCTAGGGAGGCTCAAGTAAGTCCACGTCACCGAAGAGGTCCGTTCTAGTTGGAGCGAAAAGGCAGGCAGGGTGACAGACATTCACCATGGACTGCCACGCTCACTTTATTTTACAGAATAGCTGAAGATCCTTTGCAGGAAAACGGTGGCGTGCTTCCGTGTGCTTTCACATTTGTGCCCAGTGATTTTGCCTCGCCACTGTTTCTATTCGGTCTCTACAAGTGTCACATACTCAGTGAAGGGAACCGTGTAGCCAAGACCCAAGGCCCTGCAATACCATGTCCTGCGACGAAGCTTGCTTGAATGGCGCTAGCCCAAAGCAGTGCGTTGAACAAGCTTTGCTCAGTCAAGTCAGCCATGGCCATGACTGTGACTGTGACACCTACTTGAAGGCGAATGGGCCAGCTGGAGCCCTTGGACCACATGTGGCTGCCTTACTTGTTTCACATTTACATGGCCACCGCGCCTGCTTTTTGCGTGCAGCTGCTTTCTACCTATAGCGGCCCTTTTCTTAATGTTCTTCAAGCTGGCCGTTGGGAGCCATGCAGACATATAGGTTGCGTTGAACAGTTGCAAACCGTTACTGCGCACGCGTGCAATTGTGATTTGTCGGGCGAACTTAAGGCGCCTGCGCAGTCAGCTGTTCGATTGTGCTTGCTGGCTTAACAAAAGAACTGGACACTACGGCAGAGCTTGGTGCTCAAAATTACGGTCCCCGCAAGCTCCAGGTGATCTCAAGGGCAAATATGTTTGTGCATTTAGCAAAGGTTTTCCCGGTATTATGGCGATGGGCATCCCTTCTTGTGGTTCCAACAAAATTGACGCGGAACTTTTTGCGTTGACAACGAAAGGCGCAGTCCCCGTTCCGACAGTCTGCTTCAGCTCTGCTTTGTTTTTGGCTTTGCTGTAACCGTAACTGGCCACGCAAAACTATACAACGAGTGCCACGCGATTCCACAAGAGGACACGCAGGGTGAACATATTTTTGTTCTCGGCAATACGTAGTTTGCGTTGCAGTTGCGTTCCATGCAGTTGCATTGCAGTGTGCGTAGTTTGCGCTCCAGACGCATCAAACTGCAGGTTCCGCGACTTGTGACGTAGCCTACAAATCGCGAAGGAGAGATGTGGCTGCCTTGGCCTAAGATTTTGGAGGTGTTTGGGTACCTCATTTTTTTGCAGTTATTTGTTTTTGTTGCATTTATACTGTAGTTAGCTTTAGTATAGTTTCCATCATGTTTCCTATGTGTATGTGTACTTACATACATATATATATAATCATACATGTTTCTTTTTGCCGGGGTCCAGTAGCACTGCAATGGCTGTATGAGCAGGTTGCCGCTCGAAGGAGGTGGTGTTGGGTTGCATGGAAGTAATGAAAAGTGATGGCGATAGAGTAACTGGAGGAGAGTGAAGAAGCAAACAAGATTAAGTATAGACGAGTTGTAAACAAAACATAGGTAAAGGCAAAGGCTTGAAGGGATATCATGAAATCAATAAATCTATTTCTTGGCAAATTCCTAATTTGTTCACTGGGAGAATCACAAACGAAATGGAATGAAAAGGGTTCCATACTTCAAAAGGACTTTGGAAGGGATCGATCAAAGGACATCAAGAAGGGCAATCAAACTGCTCCTGAGCAACCAGAGGAATTGAATCGAAACAAAGGGAAATCAAACGAAGGTTTTTACATACTGTAGCAAATGAACATGAATTCAAAAGAAGCAAAGAAAATCAACCAAGAGTAATTCAATAGAAGTCAGCAGGAAGCAAAAGGAGGAAACAATGGAAACTCAATCTCTTAACAAATCAAGCGAGGAGAAATCGAAAGGAGTCGAAGCAGATTTCAAAAGGATTTTGTTTTTCTTGACGGGGCAGGCTTGCAAAATTGTTTGTTTCCTCTTTTGAGGCTAAAGGGGCCAGCTGGGTTGACATTATATAGTCCGTAACTTGGAAGTTGCAATCGTGAGGATTCATTTGACCATGACACTCGTTTCGCTTTTTGACCTGTGTTTTCTTCTTGCTCCTTGGTTCAAGACACCAGGGAAGGGCATCGAACGTTCGCCATGTGAAAGAGGTGTCATTGCGCCATAGTGTCGACCCAGGGATTTGATTTCAGGCTCCTGCTACGTACGTGAGGGCTTGTTATCGCATTGGTAGCGACAAGGGATCGATCTTGGCGCACCGTGCATAGCAAGATGTCTGCAGACTTTGTCTTCGATGATGATCTCCCCATGGACGAAGGCGCAGACGAGGACGCAGCCGAAGGCGCTCCAGGGGACGAGGACGAGAATGAATCGTTGTTTGATTTTGACTTTGAGTTTCCCCATGTCGATGAGGAACCCCATGTTGATGATGCAGAAGCTCCTAGAGTATCAACACCGCCTGCAAGTGACCCTTCCTTTGCCCCTTCGAGACGAAGCCGAGGCAGCCGGGGTCGTGGCTCTCAAAAGAAAGCCAGTTGACCAGTGAGAACACCAAGGATTCCTCCAAGCGCTGGCGAAGTGGTCAAGTGCCTCAAGCACCAACGTTTTCTGGAGACACGGAGGCTGATCCGTACTGCTTTAGACGCTACAAGAAACGCCTCCTCCGCTGGATTCGAATTACGAAGGAATTTTTGCCACCCAACGAACGCCTCCGGCGAGGCCGAGGTGGAATTTGAAGAAGTGTCGGATGACCGTTTTGATTGCAGCGAAGGAGTCACCAGGCTCCTTTCCGACCTTGATGTGTCGTGCAAGTCATCCAGTTCATGAGTGTGTGGGAGTGTGATCTCTTCGAGATCTGCTAGGTGCCTTGGCACCCAAGTTTTGCACTTGGTATGGTATTGTGCTGTGCTTGGGATTCGTTTCATGGCTGCTATTTGCTCAAGTTCATCGAACCAGCTGGCTACCAGTTGAGGTTCGTTGACGACTTCATGTGTGAGACATCTGACGCAGCAGGTGCGTTGCGCTGCATCCGTTGTGGTGTCTGTGCTTCCGCAGCTGCGGCAGTATGTCGCAAGTGCCATGGCGGTTGTTCGGGGATTGGAAGTTTACAGTGGCTAGCAGGCACCACCAGAGGCGACCTGTCGGCAGACGTGTCTTTGCTTCAGAAGCCCCCTTCTGATCTCTCAGCGGATGACCTTCGAGAAGTGAACAAGGTCAGTAAATACGCTCGTGCTACCTCCAGTGCCTTTTTCAAGGTGATCCCGCATGACATCAATGAGATGCTGTTCATCGCCTACGGCGATTCAGGGTGGGCAAATGCGCCCCGATGTAAGAGCCAGGGCGGCTACGTCGTGGTCGCGACCAACAAGAAGGTGTTGGAATCTGAGCAGCCGGCATCGTTGTTAGACTGGAAGTCGTACAGACGCCAGCGAATACTTCGCTCCACCCTCGCTGCGAAAGCAGCCTCCTTGGATCGTGCCCACGACGCCGGACAGTTCATGGCATGTGTTTTTAGTGAAATGACCGATCCAAGCTTTCGAGCGACTTGCGGCAGTCCCTTGAAGTGATTCCAGTCACAGACGCAAGAAGTTTGTGGGACTCAATTCACCGCCTCAGCACATCATTTGCTGAGAAACGCGTCGAAATTGACGTGGCAGGGCTCCATCAAACATGTCGAAATTTAAGATGGGTGCCGACTGAGAAGCAGGTGGCCGACGCGTTGACCAAACGCTGTGCCAAGCTCAGGGATTCGTTCCGAAGATGGGCTGAGAGCCCTGTACACTGACCGACTCCAAGTCCGCCGAGGACGGTGCGGACAACGCAGGTTGGCGAGAGTGTCAGGTCAACAAAGATAAAGACCAGTGCAATCGTGAGGATTCATTTGACCATGGCACTCGTTTCGCTTTTTGACCTGTGTTTTCTTCTTGCTCCTTGGTTCAAGACACCAGGGAAGGGCATCGAACGTTCGCCATGTGAAAGAGGTGTCATTGCGCCATAGTGTCGATCAGATCCAGGGATTTGATTTCAGGCTCCTGCTACGTACGTGAGGGCTTGTTTCGCAGAAGTTTGAAGTTTCTTCCCTAAACATTTGGGCCTTCAACAGCAAAGAAACACCTAGGTTTTGTTTGGCTGGCTGTCTCCCTTCTGCCCATTCGCAAGTTGTGGAATAGACGTCAGTGGCTGTCAAACAATGCAAAGATAAGCCTCCAAAGGCAACATGTCGCTGACAGCAAACAGCATGTATTTGTTCGAGCCGTTCGAGCTTGATGTGCGCTCTCCGAAACTATCCGAACCGAAATGGGAAAGGCTCATACAGGGTGACTGTGATCAACATCTGGGACATTCGATGGCATCATATTTGCACCTCGTTATCCAGATCAATTTGGGCTGGAGGTGCTACCCCCTCCTCGCGATAATTACTTTGAGACGGTTGCGCGATGTCGAGACAAATCTATATATACATGTGGGGACTTTGAACAGTACGTGATCGCTGGTCGCTGAGCCAGAGTTGCTGAAATACAGCATCCTCCGGTTTTTTTTTCAGCAGCCTGAGTGTGCTGGAAGCAGCTGCTCGTGTCGCTTGAGTTGCGGGCCCTGACAATCGTTCCCCATGCACAAAGAATCCAAAGAAAAGCCTGACTGGCGTTTGCTGAATGCTCATTTTGCGATGCTTAGTAGGGGGCTGTTTGCCGTCACAAGGCCAGACTTCAAAAACCCTGATTGAGCGACAGGAGCATGCCCAAGTCGAAATCCCTGAAACGCCCTTTGAACATGGCCATGCCCAACTTCAGGTGAATCTTGACAGCGGAGATTGCAAACTGCAACAACAAACCAGAATGTAGGGTAGAGATGGGTAGAGCATTTGAAGCGTAAAGAACGCCTCTCAACCTTTCAACCTCCCTTTTCAATATCGCCCGGAAAACAGTGAAGCGAGATGTGAGTCACTTGGTTTTTTCCCAGACAGTATGCATCAATATACAATGTTTCTTCACTTCATAGTGAATCGCAAGTGGGCTTTCGATGCCTTGTCGTGCTGGAGGTTCAGCCAAGCCGCTGCGGCAAACCTGCAGTTGGCCTCCGAGAGGATTACAAGGTGTGGAACTTCCAAAGGGGAGTGGGATTGTGTTTGGGGAATTGTAAGGTATTTGAGATGCTTGCAACAGTTCCAAACTCCAAACCATCAAAAATACTCAGGATGTGCCGGATGCAGACATATTGGATGCACATAGATGCACATCAAGCTGCGTGTCGAAGCCATACCGTTAAGAGTTGGTCGTGCACATTCGAATATATTTCTTAAATCATTAAACACGCCATGACCTGACAACCCAATCTACCAGGCCGGCTGTGTGGCTGAATACTTTCTTTTTTCAGTGCGAAATTGAAACATATTACAACACGAGCGTATGCTTGTCGAAGGTCTGTGCGAATCTGCAGCCTTGCAACCTCAATCAAGATTGCCAGCTGGGGGCATGGAATGTGTGGTGCGCCATTTGTTTGCTCGTTTTTCTCAAATAATTGCTGAACAGGTTGACCCTTTTTGGCATGCTTGGCAGGTCAGAGTGCAGCTGCAGCTGTTTCGGCATTCGTGAGAGAAACAGAGTTATTGAACGGTTTGCGTCTGGTGACGGATTGCCTTGCTCTCAGTGGCAACATGTGGCCTCTCTTGCTTTGTTCAATTTTTCTGGAGCTCTTGTTTTTGGATGGCAATGAAAGATATGAAATGAAAAGTGCTCGTGGCAGGTCATGCAATGGCACGGTGAAGGAGATCGTGCCTTGCAACCCAGGTCTTGGGGAGGTACCACGACGCGTTCAACTCATGGTTTGTGGGGAGATTACTTGTGCATACTTGTACTGTGACAAAAACCCAGATGGCCAGGATCGAGATCCACACTGTGGCAACTCAAAGCGAGTGCAAAATTGCGCACTTGGTCTCAATATGCTTGAACTACATTCAATGGCATCATAGCTGCTATGTCAACACCATCGCCAAGATCTTCATTCTTTGCCAAAAACTGTTGCTTTTCTAAGGTGATAGCAGAGTGGGATGATTGGACAGTCTGCAGTGTGATTCTGGCAACTTTCCCACGCGGATTAAAATTCCATAAAATTCCATACGACTTGGCCCGAAAGCACAGTAGGAGTAAGATAGGATCAATCCTGGGTATCTATAGACACTGTGGTAGAAGTACTTCTACACGCTGTCGTGATTATGATGATGATGATGATGGTGATGAGGAGGAGGAGGAGGACGACGACGACCACCACCACGACGACGACGACGACGACCACGACCACGACCACGACGATGCACGACCACGATGCACGATGCACGATGCACGACCACGACCACGATGCACGATGCACGATGCGCGATGACGACCACGACCACGACCACGACCACGACGACGACGACGCCGGCGACGACGACGACGACGACGAGGAGGACGAGGACGAGGACGAGGACGAGGACGAGGACGAGGACGAGGA